CCAGGTTTCCCAGTCAAGCCGCACCAACCACATTACCCGCCATAACCCGATGATCAGGAACTTCCTGCACTCATTTGTCGAGTTCTCCTTTGAAGATTTGTACCATTGTTGTGGCAATGTTTCTCGTATATCTTGCTACGTTTCACGAGTTCTGCTCTTCAAGCTCGGCCAAGGCCAGTCTTTATGTTGGTTATATATACTAGGTAAATAATGCTGTTGGTATTAGCAGCCCGCGGGATTACCTAACCAGGCTGATCTGCTACTTAAAACAGCTAGTGGTTCACAGTACCAAGACAAGTGTGCAGCAAATTTTCATTTAAAGACGTTTCGTTTCTTCTTAACTCTCTCTAATTCAACGAAAAGGCAAATTTTTTGCTTTAATGAAACGTGATTTGCACACCGTATTCTCTAACCAAATCTGTCGGCAATATTGCCCTTCCAAACAGGTAGTGGTTTGGTTTCCCTGTATTTTGTTTGTCTGCGTGTTGTTCGCCTGCGTGCATAAGTAAATTATGATAATATACGAGCAAGAACTGGGCCACTGATAATTTAACGAAAGCTCACTCGCATTCAGCAAAACATGCAAATGTGAATCACGTATGCCATACGTGTGCTTGAAACAAGCAAAATTTACAGCGAACTGGTGGACCAAGTCAGTAGCCAACTACATGTTTTGAACCAGTGAACCTAAGTCAGGTCCAACAACAATGCAACTAGTGTAAATTTTAATGACCCAGTAGACTGCCGCCAGTGTGAGCTGGACTAAACACACAAAAAAAGAAGTGTTCACTTACACCCGAGATACAGTTGGGACACCGTCTCAAGTGAACGCACCATCACATAGTACATTCATCAACCAACAAAGTTACATTACCTTCAAGGTACCAAATGGGAACTTATGACAAAAATAATAATACATTTATTTTTCTAACCGAAATACTATATTATAATCATGGGGAGCGCTAAACCCATAGGATTATACAGCGCATGGGAGGGGATGGAAGGTATTCAAACTCAATTCAGGGAACCGGAGCACAGATTCAATTCCCTAGATCAAGAGCCCCTCACCAGCGTCAAGGAACCTCCCTTGAGGGGATACCGAAACACTATAGAAGTTTTAAATGCTACATTTTATTCTAATGCTTGCAAAGTAATCTAGTAGTGGCAAACTGCTGATCTAGAAGAACGCATCTTCTCTGCTAAACTGCTATCGATATCCAGAATCTGCATGAATACTGGTAGCCATGACGAATCCTTGCTCACCGATTCCCTTGCTTATCCATAACCTTTACTGTCCATGATTTAAAATACCTTCCACTAGAGTGTTGTACCAAAGCACGCAGTCACCGACCTGCTCCTATGTTGCCCTTTCTAAATCTACTTTTTCGAATTAATGTATGCTAATGCCTCCTATCTGTAGAAGACTTTTGGGGAAGTAATGCAGTGTCTCAAGTGCTTGACCTGCATGGTTGGTTAAATTGTTAAAGGTATAATTCATGACCCCGCTGTTCAACGTAACATATCTGAAGATGAAAACTATGAAGTATATAAGGCAATTAACTTATGCTTAGCGACTATTACATGTGACTACTGGGTAATCAGGTTCTCTATCTCACAAGCCTTGAAGGAACATCAAAAGCTTTCCCATTAATCCTCACTTCTCTCTCCTCGCGAAGCTCGTGTTTTAAATACAATTTTGTCATTTGTGAAAAAGGAGTGACAAGTTCAATACACCTGATCTCAAAAAAATTTTTCAAAATAACTTGATCTTTCCAAAAGTGAGGCTTGATTCATCATTCACGAGACACCACAAACCAGTAAGAGTAATACACTGCTTCTACTTGGTCTACCTGGAGTGTATTCGCGGGTGTGATAATGACACTACTGTGATTAGAAATGTGTCAAAGTATTGGTATTGGTAACAGTATCAGCAACAAATTTGGTATCGTCCCATCCCTATTTATGATCCTTAAAAGTGAGATCTTCAGACATTTATTTATTTGTGTGTGTGCACAAGAGAGATTGAGAGTATGTGCATGTGTATGTACTCATCTATATGTATTCACCTATATGTATATGTGTGTGTATGTTTATGTATTTACGTGTGTGTGTGTGTGTATGTGTGTGTTTTACTTGCTTGCTTTCACTGACTCGTCCTTTCCTTAGACATGGAGAGGGCTCTTCTTACTTGTTTTGCCCGTCTCTCTTCCTATCGAGCTTGTAAGTCGAAGTGACCTATCTATTTCCCTGCTTATCTTTCTTCTCTGTGACACTTAAAGAGCTCTGGCTTGATATCCGTGGGATGCCTCCCAAACATTTTACTCATTTATGGTGCACTCTTGTTTCTAGTTTACTTATACTTTCACTGTCACTACATACTAGTGTTTTAATTGACCTATCCAGGAGTACGACGTGGGGCTGAGGGAACACCTGGAGTATTGGGTACAGGTCATGGGCAGAATCATTGATATCAAGGATGTGATACGCAGTGGAGCACTCAGCTTTTTTGCCTTATCACTGAAGTGGGGCCTCAGTACTACTTGAAGACAGTCTTTTCCTTTTGCTTTTTTTATATCAGTGGTGATATGAAACGCTTAATCACCAAGCTTACTTTTTTAGGATTTACCTTGAGTAAGGGAAGCTAGATTATTGGGCTAGAAACAACACCCATGCAGGTGGAGAGACCTGTACAGGTACCCGAAAGAAAAGCAGGAATTCCATGCCTATCTGACTTGTCACACACACACACACACACACGAAGACTTGACCACCACGTATATAATACTTACGGGTATTTATAGAAAGATAACTGACAAATGAAACACACACGATCAATTGGAATGTTAAAAAAAAAAAAAAACTTCAAGTGTAATACTGCACATAACTTTAAAAGAACGGGTTAAACAACTCCATACAGACATGATACCGACAGATACAAAAATATTTTTAAATATCCAATAGAGACAGACATCATACCAATCTATAAATCACTGAAACAATCCCACTCCAAGAAAGTGGAAGTAAAACACTCGCAAAAAATAAAAAGAAAAAAAAAAAAAAGCGCCAACGTAACAATCGTTAGAAAACACGCAAAGAATAATAATACACACGAAACTCCATATATATCCAGTGTAGAATATACCGACAAATACATTCTACATGTTAATAATTCTCCAGAAAGATGTCCCTGGTGGACGAAACGTCTTAATAAAATGTAATAAAGCGCATATTTTGTTTTATTACTACAGGGAATTACAACTGTTGGACAACTCAGTACAATATGGATTTAGAACAGAACTTTCCTGCATCAGGAGACTTATGGCGGACAAGAAAATACTGATGTAATATATGTATGTACATAATTTTTAAAATTATGTGAGAGATCATGATGTGATCTCACAAAATGCATGCAATAAGAATAATCCAAAACAGGTGGTTCTTACACGTTCTAACAAATTGCACCGTAAGAGAAATAAAAAAATCAATGTCCTCCACAGCTAATATTTTTGTTCCACAAGGCACAGTACTCGCCTTTAATTCTTTCTCATATGTGACAGACGTCAGGGATACAGATGATAGCGCTGTATTAATCTTCGCAGATGATGATGAAGTCTGTGTGAGTGGCAGCCACTACTGACAATAAACTAATAAGCTGGTATGATACAGTTCAAGTCTTTCAGTGAGTCAGGTAATAAAAATTTAACCTACTCTGCTAACGAGAAAAAAAACTTAATACACGAAAATTCAAACCAAAAAGGTCAAAGACAGTATCAATACCGACACGTATTTAGCACTAGTACATGAAACTGGGAAGTGTGTATTATGTAAATATTTACGGTACCTTGGAGCAATAGATCACTGAAAACAGTTTACCTGGAATCTTTTTGGAGGTTGTTAAGGAGGTCAATGCCTTCACGTCCGATGGACCAGGGTCCGCTCAACCAGGCTGTTACTGATGGTCGCACGTAATCCAATTTACGAATCAAAGCCCGGCTGATCGGGCACTAACTTTAGGTATCTGTCCAGATCCCTCTTGAGGACAATCAGGGGTCTATTAGTAATTCTCTTTATATATGATGGTAGGCTGTTGAACAATTTTGGGCCCCGGGCACTTTGTATTTTCTTTCAGTGTACTCATGGAATCCCTGCTAGTCTTCTTTTGTCGTATGGAGAGAATTCGGTGTGCAAATTTGGGACCAGTTCCTCTAGAATTTTCCAGGTGTAGATTATATGCATCTTTCTCGACTGCGTTTCTGGAGTACGGGTCGTGGGACCTCAAACGTTCTCATTAAGGTCCTTTACTAAACTAATACATGCAATGAAGGTTCTCCGTACATTCTCTAGATCTGCAGTTTCGCCTGCCTTGAATGGGGCTGTTAGTGTACAGAAGTACTCCAACTAAGAGAGAACAAATGATTTAAAAAGGATCATCAGCGACATGGTATCCCTTCTTTTGAAAGTTCGTATTATCATCCTATCATTTTCCTCGCAGATGTGATAGCGACACTGTTGTGAACACAAGTTCTTCACATTAGTTTTTCGCTCTATTGTGTGATTAGAATTTGTTGTATACTCCGTTCTTGCTGTTATTTCCCCAAGTTTCCCATAACAGAGTATGGAAATTACGTTATTTCTCCGTGGTCCATCGGAAAGCTTGGTTTATATCCGCTAGGAGAATGACACTTATGAAGATTCTAGTATCGTCTGCAAAAGACATCTCTACTGTACCTTGTAGAACAGAGCTTTTCACTGTGGCAGCTTCCGACTTAACTGTTTACCATTACTTTGTGTTCTATTGATTAGAAAGTTAAAGATACATCTGCCAACTTTCCAAGTTATTCCTTACCATGATTATTTTTTACATCATAATTGCACAAGTCGAAGACTTCTGCAGTCTGTGTATACTACATCTGCAATCTATTCGTCCTCCAGTGCATCCAAGACCAGGTCTCAGTGATCCAGTGGTTGCTAGAGGCAGGAGCGTCCTGCTCTAAACTCACGTTGCCCTGGGTTGTGCAACTGCAGTAGTTTGGCCGTGAAACGCCTTATGGCCAATAGTTATCACAGTTACATCAGTGTCAGCAGAAACCTCCGGGTACCAGCGCTCACCAGCAGTTTCTTCTTCCTATATTCCAGCATAGGGTCAATGCCTTCACAAACGGTATCGTCATAATTGTAAAGACCAGTATCAGATCATTTTTCCCCCAATGAATGCACTCTAAATAATAGCCAGAGGGTAATCAAGAATCACAACTTCAATTAAAATAATAGGCTAGATAACAAGGAAATACTAACACTTTAACGAACTGGTACTCAAGAGATTTGAATACTGATGTACAATAAGACAGGCGAAATTATAGATGTGGAAAACTTACGAGAGACTGACTGTGCCCGAATCAATTCAGTCAGACATATTATTAAGACCTCCTATTATATCAAAGTACTCTAGAACAGGGGCAAGAAATGTTAAAATATCAGGGTGGGGGAGAGGGAGTTATTGGTTATAAATATACACACTAAAGATGAGCAACAGGTAAACATAATGATTAGTCAAGATTTCAACCAGTCTTTGTATGGGACTGGGTCACGGAGGCGATGACCCCCCCCCCCCCAGAATCGACTACACTACAGCTACGTAAATTTACGAGGGCTAGAGGCATGATAAATCATACAAAATATCTCAATATAAAGAAGGGGACATGAGATACTTGTGCAATAACTGTATATCTTTTAATGAAGACGGAAGAACGTCGATACAGGATACCATTAATACAATAGTAAAAGAAAGGGGCCCCAGTAAATACATTAAAAGATAACTCACTAGCAAAGATAATCAAGATTTTCAAGAGCCTTCCTTCAAGTATAAAAGTAATAACCAGCAAACCCGTCTTCAGAAGGGAACTTGTTAAACTGTTCACAACCATTCCTGGAAAGCCGGGCTCTGGAGCCGCCACCTCCCTCAACCTGATTGACCAGGTCATGATCCAGGAAGCCTGGGCCGCTGGAGCGATGAACCCAGGAATCAACACACTGACCACACGTAGTTGTAGAAGCTGTGGTGGTAGGTGATATTAGAAAAAATACCTCATGTGCTGGTACTGGTAGCAAACATAGTGGTTTGTGATATAATTAATAATAGTAGTGGTGGCAGTAATAGCAGTGGCGGTGTAGTAGTGCCGGTGGTGGTAGCAGTAGTAGCAGTGATAGTAGTAGCAGTGGCGGTAGTAGCAGTGGCGGAAGTGGTAGTAGTAGCAGTGGCGGAAGTGGTAGTAGTAGTAGCAGTGGCGGAAGTGGTAGTAGTAGTAGCAGTGGCGGAAGTGGTAGTAGTAGTAGCAGTGGCGGAAGTGGTGGTAGTAGTAGTAGCAGTGGCGGAAGTGGTAGTAGTAGTAGTAGCAGTGGCGGTAGTGGTAGCAGTGGAGGTAGTAGTAGCAGCAGTGGCGGGGGTAGTAGTAATAGCGGTGGTGGTAGTTGTGGCGGTGGTGGTAGTTGTGGCGGTGGTGGTAGTTGCAGTGGTGGTGGTAGTTGCAGTGGTGGTGGTAGTTGTGGCAGTGGTGGTAGTAGTAGTGGTGGTGGTAGTAGTAGTGGTGGTAGTAGCGGTGGTGGTGGTAGCGGTGGTGGTAGTAACGGTGGAGGTGGTACTGCTAGTAGTAGTGGTGGTACTAGTAGTAGTGGCGATGGTGGTGGTACTAGTACTAGTAGTGACGATGGTGGTGGTACTAGTAGTAGTGGCGCTGGTGGTAGTAGTAACGGTGGTGGTGGTGGTGGTAGTAGTAGCAGTGGCGGCGGTGGTACTACTAGTAGTAGTGGCGGTGGTAGTAGTAGTAGTAGTAGTGGCGGTGGTGGTAGTAGTAGTAGTAGTGGCGGTGGTGATAGTAGCAGTAGTAGTGGCGGTGGTGATAGTAGTAGTAGTGGCGGTGGTGGTAGTAGTAGTAATAGTGGCGGTGGTGGTAGTAGTAATAGTGGCGGTGGTGGTAGTAGTAGTAATAGTGGCGGTGGTGGTAGTAGTAGTAATAGTGGCGGTGGTGGTGGTAGTAGTAATAGTGGCGATGGTGGTAGTAGTAATAGTGGCGGTGGTGGTGTAGTAGTAGTGGCGTGGTGGTGTAGTAGTGGCGGTGGTGTAGTAGTAGTAGTGGCGGTGGTGGTAGTAGTGGGGTGGTGTAGTAGTAGTGGTGGTGGTGGTAGTAGTAGTAGTGGGGTGATGGTGGTAGTAATAGTAGTGGTGTGTGGTGGTAGTAATAGTAGTGGGGTGATGGTGGTAGTAATAGTAGTGGGGGTGATGGTAGTAATAGTAGTGGGGGTGATGGTGGTAGTAATAGTGGCGATAGTAGCAGTGGTGGTGGCAGAAGTGGCGGTGGTGGTAGTGGCCGTGGTGGTAGTGGCAGTGGTGGTAGTGGTTGTGGTAGTAGTGGCGGTGGTGGTAGTAGCGGTGGTGGTAGTAGTGGCGGTGGTGGTGGTAGCGGTGGTCGTAGTGATGGTTGCAGTGGCGGTAGTAGTAGTGATGGTGGTAGTAGTAGCATTAGTGGTGGTAGTAGTGATAGTAGTAGTGGTGGTGGTGGTAGTGATACTAGTAGTGATGGTGGTGGTAGTGGTGGCAGTAGTAGTGGCGGTAGTAGTGGTGGCAGTAGTAGTGGTGGTGGCAGTAGTAGTGGTGGTAGTAGTGGTGGTGGCAGTAGTAGTGGTGGTGGCAGTAGTAGTGGTGGTAGTAGTGGTGGTGGCAGTAGTAGTGGTGGTGGCAGTAGTAGTGGTGGTAGTAGTGGTGGTGGCAGTAGTGGTGGTGGCAGAAGTAGTGGTGGCTAGGTGTAGGTGGTGGTAGTGGTTGGTAGGTGGTGGTGGTATTAGTAGTGGTGGTGGTAGTAGTGGTGGAAGTAGTGGTGGAAGTAGTGGTGGTGGTGGTAGTAATGGTGGTGGTAGTAGTAGTGGTGGTGGTAGTAGTGGTGGTGGTAGTAATGGTGGTGGTAGTAGTGGTGGAAGTAGTAGTGGTAGCGGTGGTGGCAGTAGCCATAGTAGTGTTGGTGGCAGTAGTAATACTAGCAGTAGTGGTGGTGATGGCAGCAGTAGTAGTGGTGGTGGTGGTAATGGTAGCAGTAGTAGTGCTGGCAGTAGTAGTGGTGGTAATGGTGGTAGCAGCAGCAGTAGTAGTAGTAGTAGTAGTAGTAGTAGTAGTAGTAGTGGCAGCAGCAGCAGCAGCAGCAGCAGTGGTGGTAGTAGTAGTGATGTTAGTAGCAGTAGTGGTAGTAGTGGCAGTAGTAGTAGTGGTAATAGTAGTAGTGGCAGTAGTAGTAGTGGTAATAGTAGTAGTGGTAATAGTAGTAGTGGTAATAGTAGTAGTGGTAATATGTGGTAAAGTAGTAGTGGTGGTGGCAGCAGTAGTAGTAGTAGTAGTAGTGGTGGATGGCGGCAGGTAGTAGTAGTGTGATGGTGGTGGTCGGCAGTAGTAGTATTGGTGGCAGTAGTAGTGGTGCTAGTAGTAGTGGTGGTAGTAGTGGTGGTGGTAGTAGTAGTGGTGGTAGTAGTAGTGGTAATAGTAGTAGTGGTAATAGTAGTAGTGGTAATAGTAGTAGTGGTAATAGTAGTAGTGGTAATAGTAGTAGTGGTAATAGTATAGTAGTAGTAATAGTAGTGGTAATAGTATAATATTAATAGTAATAGTGGTAATAGTAGTAGTGGTAATATAGTAATAGTATAGTAGCAGTGGTGGCAGCAGTAGTAGTAGTAGTGGTGGTGGTGGTGGTGGCGGCAGCAGTGGTGGTGGTGGCGGCAGCAGTAGTAGTAGTGGCAGTGGCAGTAGTAGTGGTGATGGCGGCAGTAGTAGTGTCGTAGGGGTTCTTAAAAGGAGATATCGAGGGTTGAAGGTAGACACACTTGTTGGATGGTAACGATATATTGTCAGACTGTGGTAATGGGAGATGGAGCCCCCAACCTGCCTTGTCCTGCCTATGTCTACACGCAGACTGAGAAGGAGGCAGAGGTACGAACGTACACATGCGCATCCCGTGGCGTCACACAAACAGTCACAGGCCTAAAAGGGATCTTCTATATAAACACATGGATGGTACTATGATATGCTATACAACACATATAAGGGGATCAGCAACTATGCTGACAGTAGTAGTGATGGTGGTGGCGGCAGTAGTAGTATTGGTGGCAGTAGTAGTAGGGGTGGTGGTGGTGGCAGTAGTAACAGTAATAGTTGCAGTGGTGGTGGTGGTTGTAGTAGTAGTAGCAGCAGTAGTGGTGGTAGCAGCAGCAGTAGTGGTGTTGGTGGTAGCAGTAGCAACAGTAGTAGTACCACCAGTGGCAACAGTAGTAGCAGCAGCAGTGACACTAGTAGTGGCAACAGCAGTGGCAATAGTAGTAGCAGAAGTGGCAGTAGTAGTGGCAAAAGTAGTAGCAGCAGTGGCAGTAGTAGTGGCAAAAGTAGTAGCAGCAGTGGCAGTAGTAGTGGCAAAAGCAGTAACAGCAGTGGCAATAGTAGTAGCAGAAGTGGCAGTAGTAGTGGCAGTAGCAGTAGTAGTGGCAAAAGTAGTAGCAGCAGTGGCAGTAGTAGTGGCAATAGTAGTAGCAGCAGTGGCAATAGTAGTAGCAGCAGTGGCAATAGTAGTAGCAGCAGTGGCAATAGTAGTAGAAGAAGCGGCAGTAGTAGTGACAACAGTAGTAGTAAGCAGCAGCAGCAGCAATAGTAGTGACAACAGTAGCGGCGGCAGCAGCAGCAGGCTATATTACTGCAAGGAAGGAGAGATTAACTCCAATTTTTTGGATCAAGAGCCCTTAGCAGCATCAAGGCACCCCCTTCAAAGGGGTCTTAGTAGTGGTAACGTTGGTAGCAGAAATGGTAGTAGTGCTGGCTGTAACAGCAGCAGCAGTGGTATGACAATTTTTTTTAGCTAGCAAATTGGACACATCAGTAATGTACTGTTATACTATATGATAGTTACGAGGGTGGAAAAAACAGCTGGTTATGTTTCCATGTGGCATTTCATCAAGCAAGATGGATAGGTTACATATATTCATAGCGTTGAAATCGTCTGCGAGAGCTGGGAGACTTCCGTGGGACAATGAGAATATTGTCAAGAACATACATACTATTAAGTAGAGATTCGGTAGGTATTTTAGCTTCCGCAGTCA